AAAATATATAATATCATAAATATTCTACTATTTCGCACTTATTTAATTTAATTTTGTAGAGCTTATTTGTTGCTATTTGAAATACTTTTTTATTAATTATTTTATCCTTATCATAATTTATTTTTGTATAAATTACTTTTATTATTTAAAACGTGTAAAGAGTTTTATAATATTGCACGCATGGTTCTGTTTGATATGGTCGATCCTAATTTCTACAGGCTTCAGAGGACAGTGCATATTTACAGGGTTCTGCAAGTAGACCAAAAACTGTTAAAAGAGGAGTCGATGAATTCAATATAGATGAGGGTGAGCCTGAGAAAGTGGATCACCTTCTGTTTCTTGTACACGGTATTGGTAGTGTTTGCGATCTGAAGTTTCGCACTGTAGAAGAAGTTGGTAAGTTGTGAAAAATATAATATTAATTTGAAATAAAATAATTATTATAGTTATTTATAAAACTCAAATTGTAATATTAACGTCATTTTTTAGTTGATGAATTCCGAAGTATATCATTTCAATTGGTGCAGTCACATTATCGTACTGCATGCGAGCAAGGAGTCGTAAATAGAATAGAAGTTTTACCGATCTCCTGGCATACAACGCTTCATTCAGATACGGGAATTGATAAACGACTACAAGCTATCACGTTGGAGAGTATTCCGAAACTGCGACATTTTACTAACGATACTTTACTTGATATACTTTTCTATACTAGTCCTATATATTGTCAAACTATTATGCAAACAGTCGGAAGTGAGCTGAACAGATTGTACTCACTATTCAAAGAAAGAAATCCTACCTTTGATGGAGAAGTATTCTTAGGCGGTCATTCATTAGGTAGTTTGATCATGTTCGATCTATTGTGCCATCAAACACCTGAGAAAGAAGATGAAGATATGGACAATGAGGAAGTGAGTAGTAATAAAAAATATAAATAAAAAAAAGTTTATGTATTTTATTTTCAATTTTATAATTTAAATGCTTTCACATGTTTTATATTTAGGCTCTAAAATATTTATTGCAATTGCAGGAAGGTGACAGTATTGGGCCCATTCAGCCAATGCCTGCAGCTGTCATCAAGAGACGTCTTAGTAGAAAAGTTAGCTATGTAATGGGAGCTGCAGGAACAGGCCAGCCTTATATACATTACCCGCAACTCATTTATCGCCCGCGTGCCTTTTTTGCTCTCGGCAGTCCGATTGGCATGTTCGTAACGGTCCGAGGCATCGATACTCTAGGAGAAAATTTTACTCTGCCTACTTGTCCAGCTTTCTTCAATATCTTTCATCCGTTTGATCCGGTAGCTTATCGAGTAGAGTCCTTAATTAATCCTGAAGCCAGCAATTTCCGACCTATGCTGATACCACATCACAAAGGCAGGAAGAGAATGCATTTAGGTGAGTACTTATTGTTAAAATATGCATGTGACGATTTCTAATAATAAATTATGACCTAGGTTGAACTTACCTATATAGCACAAATTATTTCAGCAAGTAACGTTACAGTAACGTTGCAACGTTTCAGTAATATTGTAATAATATTGCAATCATGCAGCATTGTTGCTGTAAACTTTTGTGTTGTATGGATATGTCCTTACTAATATTTATTATTTACAGAATTAAAGGAGACGATGGCACGTGTCGGAGCAGATTTGAAACAAAAATTAATTGATTCCGTAAGACAAACATGGAACTCTTTCTATCAACTAGCCTTATTTCATAAGCCAGACAACCAAATTCTTGAACGCGAAATTGATAAAGTAGTCGAAGAGCAATTACACAAACCACCAAGCGTACCAGATCAACATAACAACGATGATAATGGTGCCAATTTAAAAATAGGAAAACTTAATGGTGGTCGCAGAATAGATTACGTTCTTCAAGAAGCGCCTTTTGAATATATTAATGAATATATTTTTGCTCTTACAAGTCATATCTGTTACTGGTACGTAGTATACTTCTTATGAGAAACACTTTGCGTTATGTATAATTATATATACAATATACTATTTATAATTTGATTTTAGGGAGTCTGAAGATACTATGCTTTTGATATTGAAAGAAATATATGGGTCTAAAGGTATTCAGACCGACACGCAACTTCCTCAACAATCAATGTCAATTGAGAGAATGTCTCCTTCTCCATCTTTGAATTTAGCATCTGCCTCGTTACCCAGTAAAAGTAATATAGGAACGTCACTTGTTATGGGCGTAGATCCTACAGTGCCTATGTCCAGTAAACCTGTCGGTCCACCACCTAAGACTGGCTTTGTACCGAAATCCTGATCGATGGAATATTTTTCCCATAATTATATGCTACGAGATTAAATTGTATTGGAACAGAAATTAATCTTATTTCTAATTAATATTTAAAAAATGGAGCGATTAGGTTGAAGTTAAAAAAAGTGAAATGCAGAACAATCAAACTTTGTACTTTACAGTGTCTTTCGATTATCTGTAAATTTTAGCACTATTTAATTATATACAAACATCAAATATTAATTGCACAAAATTGGCCTACGTAATCAACTCTTCAAATAAACTTTAGTTTATAGCAAATTAGTTGTTAGGTAGGTAAAGGATGTAAATAATGATTCGATTGATTGGTATGCTGAAATAATCAGTAATTTTTGATTGAAATTTATTATTTGCATATCTGGTGCATATTTGTTTATATTATATTATTGATATTTAGACTATGTATAATTGTGACTGTATGATTGAAAATTTATATGAAGCGTTATCTAGAGAAGAAAGATATGGAAATGAGAATGTGTAAATGAAATAATGTGTAAATATATAATTTAGTTGGATAAAGATATAGTAGATTATATAAACTTTTTTATAATCTGCTTGAACGAATTATGAACATACCAATTTTGATTCTTATGTATGCGCGTATTTTAATAAATTACTGTATTCTTTTACATTATTATTAATTATCTATATTTCCTCACATAATTTGATTACAGATTTGCACTTGTGCTGTCAAATATCACTATTTGTAATTGATATTAATAATATTACTTTCAAGTTCATGTCAATTATGTGTATAACGACACGTGACAAAATTATGGAGAACTTCAACTTTAGCAATCTCAACATCGTGCAGTCAGGCAGTGCTGATATGTTCTTTAAAATGGTGTTACATGTTCAATCGGATCAGCGAATGGCGTCACCTTATCGCGCAAGCAGCTTTAGCAGGGCTAGAAAAAAAAGAGAACGCTTCGGCACATGCACGGCTATCACGAAACGCTAATTAATTGCGGTGCAAGCCCACCAGGTTCGAGACTGCTTTGCATTTTGCGTGCAGGCCCTCGTAAAACTACATGCCTGTCAGCCCCGGCGAATTTCAAGATGATTTATCGTCCTCGCAAAACTAAGTTTTTCGCGGTACTTCGTGGCTTCTCAGCGGTTCCGAAAGGCACGGCCGACGCTTTCGACATGCAACTGTGGCCGGTGTGGGCACGATCCGTAAAGTTGACGTCTCTGATCGACTGCTATTTTATATCCTCACCATCTAGTCGGACTGACTTTGAAATATGTTTCCTTCAAATCTTTCGATGTGGAGTTTTCGGTTGGCACGTTTCACGGTGACCCGCATACGCTATAATTGCGGGGAAATTAAGTGCCGGCTTTTACGTGACGGCGTTTAATACGTACGGCTGAACCTATATTGTCACGCGAATAATCATGCACACGGAAAGTTATGTTGTATATCAATTTTTTCTTAATTTTGTCAAATTATAACAAGAATCGAGAAACTGTATAGACATTGAATAAAATTTATAAGCTTCTTCTTACTACAATATAATATTAATATAACTGTAATCTAAGATGCATATAAACTTCAATGTTAAATAATTATCTATATATTCTATATAATTAAATCTATATAAATTCTTTGTGTCAAATTGTATCGCAAAAAAATACCCTAGATTGTTTTCAGAATATATTTAGCAGTTTTTCGAGAACTTGGTATTAGAAATTTTATAAGTTTCTTACTGCATCAGATACTTTTTATTTTTACAGGATATAAAATCTGGGAAAAAATATTAACATACGAATATGTTCTTTTATATAAAAATGTATTTTTCTTGAGTTTTCCATAAAATTTGTTATGTTAGGAATGGCTATTCTCGAATATGCTATTCTACATTATTATTTTCGTATACAATGCCATTCAAATCTGGCTGTCCGACAATTCGATATGCTTTGGTTACTACACTGTGTGTGCATGATGCGTAGCCACATTTCTCTTTTCAACATGCAAATACTCGTACATTGCGAGATAGACATTTACGCTCAACGGCGGTAACATAAAATGGGGTAAGGGTAAGATTTTACAACAAGCCCTAAGAGTGATTTACACCTCGGAAAAACTCCACGACATTTACGATAGCTACTCACAAATTATTTATAGCATCTGGCCTGGTAGGATGAATTTCACATGTATTTTTCTTTGTTTTTCTGAAGAGATCGTTCAGATCATGATGAAGTAGTTAAAACATTGGATATGTATTTAGATAAATTTTAGCTATTAAATTAAAAGCACAACGGAAAGCTTAAGCCAACAATGGTGAGTTATTAATATTTAAAAAAGCTTGCGTGTTCTCTTTTTATGATATAATTAGTTTAAATAAAGTTTATTGTAAGTTAAAATGTTTTATATTCTTTTAATGTGTAAAAATGTAGAAATAATATTAATATTTTTATTTTAAGATTACTGTGTAAAAAAAGTCATAATAGTAAAAGAAGAAAAAAAATTTATACAATACATTTAAAACTACACTTACAATCAAACATGAAATGATTTTGAACGTTATTCAAAACGCCGCAATAAAATTGTGGAGATAAATGTGTTGTTAGTTTTTACTCATCGTGAAATATGAGCATACATATAGTAAATTTATTAACTATTTTCTTTATTTAGAATACAATTGTAGTTCAAAATTAGAATTTGCCACTTATTCTTCATTTTGGCATGCTATTTGTCTGTAAGATCCACGCACGCGCTAAGAGCTTGCAATTCCATTATTAGGAGATTTTAGACATTCTATGCTCTAGTTAGCATGCATTTAAGTAAAATTAGTTGATTTTAATGTGTAAGTACGCGAAAAGTTGCTGTGTTTAGCAGCTCGTCGTGAAACAATTCTCGGATATCGATATGCCAGATGATTCGCCAAAAACTTTGTAAGTATTATTCCTTCTTGCAATCATTATTCTGATTCTCAATTAATTCAAGTCTATTTGTGCTTACATACATGCTTATATATTTTTTTTATAAATTTATCTATTTACGTTTGCATCTTATTTAAAAAAATTTTATTTAAGTTTACTTCGAAGACAAGTTTTTAGAATTAATTTAAAATAATTCTATTTCTTAAAGTACGTATTTAAACTCTGAAATATTATACATTTGTTAGTATATATATTACATGAATTTTATGGAATATGTCTCTTTACTTATTCTCTTTTTAATCTTTAAATATGTAATTTTAAGTTAAATATATATATGTTTATGTTTATATGTAATGTAAATATATATGTATGTTTTTTACTTTTTGAATTCGCGATATTTTTGTTGCTTTATCATTCTTTATAACTTTACTTTTCTGTTTATGTATAGTTAACACAGAACGGATAATTTAAAGTAGAATACTAATTTATAACACACATATGTAACATGCGATAAAAAAGAAAATTCTAGGCTGATATCTGTGTTCTTCAACTTAAAACGTTATATAGACAATTTGGCCCTTTAATGTTTAGTCTCGTACATGAAGTTCTTTTCCTGTGATTAAATGAAGAAATATTATGGTCATCCGAGCTTAGTTTATGTATGTCCGTATTGCGGTGCATTTTATTCCGCGATACGTATAACGAGTTAATGGCAACTTTATGCGCGGCTCCGATGACATTTACTACTGCTCTATTCCTGCTCCGCTCACGTAACAGTCGCTCGTATTATCGTATTGTTTCCTGAAGCACTCTTCATTGTTCTTCCATTACGGAAATCGAGCTCTGGCTACGAGTTTAGAATTTATCGTGCGATATGTACCGTCGTGCGCCATGTATGGTATATTCGGAAATTTGGATTTTTGCCTATTTCCGCTCTAATTCGACTGTCGAACATATGGGTTTCTGGCATGTATCCATTCCCTGCTATTTTCTAGAACAACTCGCCGCTTCGTGACTGTGCTATCATCAAGATTTGGCGATCAAATTCGAATTTCAAATTAATCCCGTCTAACACTTAGCTTTCCGTTATATCTTATGTTAATTACGTAGATTGTATAAAAATACAGTGGGATTTGTTAGTTTTCATTTAAATTCAAAAAATAGGAGTTAATAATACTTAACATGTATAATTAAGACTATTGTCATGTTTATGTTTAGTTCGTAGATATATGTATGTATAGAATACTCTGAATACTATGTCTATGGTTTAGTTTATACGTATTATATCATTATGAAGATGTTTTAAAAGAACCTAAAAATTGTTCTCATTTACATTTTTTCAAAAAAAACTGATTAAAGAAATTATATTTTCTTAAATATGATATAAGATAAAAAAAAATTAATAGTATAGCATATTATTATTGATGAAGATACATCGCAAAATTCTTATTTTTACAAATGAATTTCATCATTCATTCATTCAATCGTACTATCGTTCAAATTGGATCCAAGTCATCTCTGGAGATTTCGAAACAATGATTTTTCCGGAATTAGGTAATTTTTTTAGCCTAGTGTCCAATTTGGAAGATCGATGCATATATCTATTGATATATGGGACCTGTTGTTTTTAACGTCGGCTCCAAACGGCGGTGGCAAATATACTCTTGGTGGTTTGCCATTGTCTTTCGAGAGATGACGATCAAATTAAATTTTTGTGTACTGGATGGATTTGGAACTCTGAATCTTCGGCATAGAAAATAGCCGCTTTACACTCTACGCCACTGCGAATGAATTTATAGTAATTAATTACTTATTGTTATGTTGGTTTAGATATGTGGGCAACTTGGATCATGTTGTGTCGGAAGATTTATTGTGTGCTTTGTTTTCGAACATGGGCAGCGTCAGAAGTTGTGAGATCATCAGAGAGGTAAGTTTCTTCTACAATACAATAGTGCAGATATTTAGTACGTAAAATATTAAAAATTTTTTTTAAACAATTTTTTCCAATTAAATACAAAATATCTTGAAATATTGTGGATTAGTTGCTATGAACAAACATCAAATAAAGTAATGTACTATACACTTTATCCGATGAACGTTCTAGAAAAGCTTTTAGAACATAGGAATATCTTCTGAATGTTTTTAGAATGTCTCTTGGATGCTTGTGTTGTATATGGAGTTATAATAGCATGTTACAGATTTTTTGCAATAATATTGAACACTTCCTATTTGTAACGGTACAATCGATTTTGATCCATGAAAGTTTCACCTGCGGATGATTGTAGCCATTCACATGACATGTTATGATGGAGGTTGAAGGAGATCGAGACAAGCCAGTTTCTCTCTTGTGATCTGCGAGCTCCACCCTCAAAGATCATATCGTTTGCACGAAAGCCTCCATTAAAGCAAGTTGTTCTATCGTTATATCGATAGTCGCTAGTTGCAGATGAATATATTTTACTCAACGCATTAATAGTCGCTTAGCTCTCGGAACGTAAAATATGATCTCTTCATTCGTTAGAATATATCAGTCTGAAACAAATCAGATGAAACGTTAATTTATTTTTTAGTTATTTTTTTATGTAAAAGTAATTAATAATTTTTACTTTAATTCTAATTTTTTAATATATAAAAATATGCATGTTGTTAGTTAGAAAATATTAAAGAATAATATTTTCAATAAGTAAATTATTAATTATTGTAAATGAAATAAGAAAACTAAGATGTATTTTGAAATGTTTTTTTATTAATAATCTCACAGATCAATATTACGTTTCCGACAGTTAAATATGGTTTAAAAAAAAATATAAAGTTATATGAAAATGTGAAGTTATAATATGAAGTTAAGAAAATGTAACGAAATTATGAAAATATTTTGCAACAAAAATATAAATTAATGAATTTTCATTAAGGTATTATCACAATATTTACTATGTTTTAAATTTCAAATCACACACGAAATCAATCAGTAAATATTACATACATACGTTTTTTGTTCTTATTATTGTTAAAAATTCCTTACGAGATACATTTTTTACGTATTTCTTTTAGATTTATAACATTATAATTAAATAATAATAATAATAATAATAATAATAGTAATAACAAAAAAAGCATAACCAACAAATAACATTAATTATTCGAAAAAGACATTAATATCACACTAAATAAAGATTAATAAATCCTTGAATAAAATTAAGGTTTAACGATCTGTCAACAAAGGGAGAATTTTTTAGCAAGCTATAATACTTTACTCGAAGAAACAATAACACTTTGCAGAAGCATGCATCCACATATATGCGCTTACATGAGTCTATGTGAAGACAAGTCAGATAGAAATGTAAACGCCCACGAATGTAATTACAAAACAGTGCTGCAGTGTGTAGACATAATAGATGTACGAGGGCATCAAGTTTATACACTTTTCTCCTTGATTCTTGTAAGATTTAACCTCTCACTTATTTCTCTCCATCTCACTCAGCTCGTTATATATTATTTTCCTTCTATACTGGTCGGTTGCATGTACCAACGAGATATACGCTCGTTGCACGATGTGGTTTCGTGCGACGTAACACTTGTTCATCATCCACCTTCGTGTATACGTCACACAAAGTTTTTTTTCCTCATCGTCACTGTTCTTCCCTTGTTTCCCACCGTTCTTTTTTTTCTTCCTTCATTAAGCAGCAAGTATATAAGCGGTGTGCTGCCTATCACGGAAGATATTATGTAGCTCAGGAAGTAATATTAGCAAGATACGTCAGACTCATTTTTTCGTACATGTTTGTGATTAAAGATACTAAAAGAGCAATTTGTAGAGAATAGATAAGAGAAATTTAAAAAACTAAAGTTTTATTTTTCATGTTTAATATTTTCCTAATAATCTCTCAAGTTTCGACTAAATTTCAATCAGTACTTTGGAAAGAAATATGTATGTGCTTATTGATATAAGTAATTAATCTAAGTTTCTACGAAAAATTAACGCACATGCTATATACTAGGATACATACATGCTTGTTATATAATATAGTATGTATTCTATTGTTATTTTATATAAATACAGTTCAGATTTACATGATACATAAAGAAACAGATTAATATTATTTTATTTGTTTCTTTATCACGTTACCAATTAAACATTTCTCAAAAAGTTTTAAGCTGTATGTTTTAGTAACTTTATGCCTTTAAAATTTGTTTTATATTTTTATAGGTACCTTTATATTTTATCTGCACATAATATATTAATCAATATATTTTGAATTAAAAATATTTAATTACATAATTCATTTTCTGTGCTTATTATATATTTTATAAGATTTACACTTAAAAATTATTTAACTGTACATTATGCGATCCTTATTATTAATTCAAAATAATAATTATATATCTGCGTATAGATATATATATATATGTATATGTACGTATATATATGTACCTATACATGTATGTGTATACAAATATTGATATAGAACACAAAAATTTAATCAAAATGCAGATGAATTTCACATGCAAGCTTTTTCTCAGTTGAATAAATAAATATTGCCAATAAAACCAAATTGTTGATTTTGTTGACCTCAAAAGAATTTTCGCCAATTAAATATTGAAAAAATTGAAATAGCTATTAATTCTTTCCTTTAATACTAACTGGCAAATATCATAAACTAGTTGATTGAAAAATTTGTTCTCAGTTACTAAACGATTATTAATAATAAAGTCGACTAGCATTGTCCAAATTTTACTTATACCTGTACTCATTAAAATAAGATTTATTTTCATCCTATTATAAAACGCGAGATTGTAAAAGTATCAAGGAGATTAGTGCTCAAACAATACAATATATTTCAGATCAGAAAGATAAAAAGTTCCATATAGGTATATACAATATTATATATAGAAAAATAAATTTTCTGTTAAAATCAAGTTTAATGTAATTATATTGTTGAGACAATTGTTGCAATAAACATATGGCAGGATTAATATTTAATTTATTTAATGCTTTTCTTCTAAAGTAAAAAATATTATTTCTGTAATTATTCTAAATAATTAACATAACTTGTCTGTAAATTATGTTAAAGATAATATTACTGCTCTTAATTTATCAAATAATCCTAATGATTATTTTGATAATAATTTTTTAGGAAGTAACAGATTAGATTTAATATATAATAAGATTATATTGCATCTTCTCTAGGATGATCACTGACTACGTTTTAATGAGAATCCATAAATAGTAAAAAAACTTAGCGGTCAAAGTCCGCAAAATTTTCTACTACTGGCATATAAAAGATAATTTTACTTCCTGATTTACGTGACGAAAAGGAAGAATTTAAGCTTTCACTTTTTCTCATATAATCATACGTAACACAATGCTAATTACTAGTGTGAATGATGTTAACGGATTATTCACTTCCGCGATTCAGCCAATTAAATTAAATCTCAATACACCTATCTGGAATCGTAATATGACACTTAACATAAAGAAAATGTTTATAGCATTTTTCATATTTTGTTCTTCAATTTGGCTCAATGCTGAATGCTGGTGTTGCACATATCTGTCACGATCTGTCAAATAAAAGAGTCGAAAAGAGTATCTTTTCGATATCTTCGATATCGACTACGCGGAAATGTGCTTTGTTGGCATAACGTCTGCTTAAAATATTTGCTGATAAATACCATAAAATAAAACGCACTATACTTATTTTTGTCAACCATCAGCTAAAAAGGTAATGCAAATTATTCAAAAATTAATTTTCAATTCATAATTAATTAACTTATCTTTAGAAACACTGCTTCTCTTTCTTTCTCTACTAAAACGATTACAAAATTTTATTTTCTTTTATTAAACAAAAAATTAAGAGATTGAAAATCAATTTTATAAATTAGATTTTATATATTAGATTATATAATTATACGATTTAATTATTAAAAAAAAATCTTTAATGGAAAATTTTTTATATTATAATTCCTTTTTGTATACAAAAAAGTTTCATTTACGTCGAATCGCCATTGTTATCATCCTACACCAGTTTTGATAGTTAATGTGTATCAATATTTTATGTATTCCGCATAAGCAGCGCGGTAGGTATTTGCGTTTATTAGCTATAAACTCTCTGCAGGTGGGGTTCGCCGCTGCGGGACGGATTTATGAACCGTGCACTTTCCGAGAAAATGACGGTCCGAAGACGAAGCTTTGTGCATTATATGTATTGTCGTGGAAAAGTGCTGAACGTGCTTCAACATCCGACTATACACGTCTTTTATAGAAATCCAATTTCATACTGGCCAATTTAATGCTGATATTTACTTATTTTAAGTATTTAAAGCACTGAATAATAATGCTTTTAATACTCGAAATAAGTAATTAACCACTACCTTCCAGTATTAAATTTCTATAAGGGGTTGATATTTGCACATTTAATGAAATAATTGTCAAAAACTTACCTCGTATCGTTAACTTAATTTCGTAATTTTCTTTTATTTGTTTTATAACAAGAAAGTACAAGTCAATTTAAACTAATTAATTTATCTCGGATTATAAGAAAATTAATCCGTTCTTTAGATTAAATATAAGAAAAGCACGATTTCAAGTTTAATTTTTTAAATTTAGTTTAGTTAGTTAAAATCTGTGTCTCTAGATTTTCACCGTTGTGTGTATGTGTGCGTATGTGTGTTTGTGTGTATCAGCAAAATTTCCTTTTTTAAAATTTCTCCATTTTTAATCATGGCTTTCAACAGAGAAATATTCCTCAAATGTTTTAATAAGATATTTGGGATAAGCTTCGTTCTTCTTAATTGAATTTAAACGGAATGCTCAGGTGGGTTCTGCCATTATATGACGTAGGGATAATGCAACTACGCCATTTTGCTCTGTTATTTGTGATGCTGTGTATTCCGCTATCCGTTAATTTACACGTGGCTAAATGAAAGGTG